GCTGTCCGTTTCGTCGCTTAAACTACCTCGTGCCCTCCCCCGTGCTGATTGCTTTTCCCGTCGCTGATATTTGTGAAGCTAAGAGCAGGAAGTCACGTCACAAAGTCACGAATAGTTACGAAAAGAGTGCGCCTTTATGCGTGAAAGAAGTCACACTCAGACAATTAAGTGCGTATAAAACGCATGCACTGAGAGAAATTGATGTCTTCGGTAAGCCGACTGGCCACGCTCTTACCATCACCACAACAGGACGGCATGGCATGGGGTAACGATGTGAGGTTTGGCTGCCGGCGGGGTGAGTGCTCAGTACACCACAAGCTGTGGACAGTGCCTCCAGACATTCGGTGCGGTCTGATCTTCGGCGGCTAGGCCGGTATGGGGCGAAATCCTCCGGGGGTTAAAGTGCTGCATTAAGCTCCGCCCTTGAAGTGTCGCGAACCTGTAGTCGGGCCAGCCTACAAATGTCATGCTAAACAAATCTTAGATTAGGGACCGTGCTAGCATCAGCTATAGATGTCCTTGTACGAGCCTGAAGCCGAGGAGGTCTAGCTCGTACCATGGCTGTTACCGGCTTGCAACTTATGTTACGCAGACCAGTGTCCGCCCCCCTGGTACCCGGCAAGGCCCAAGCAGCGCCAGCCGGAGTGCAACTGCGCATACATTTCCAACGTTTTCATCACACCCTGCCTGCGCACGGCTTCACTGTCAGGCGGCCTGCGGAGAAAAAGGATGAACGTTTGTTCATCAGGTATCTCCGTATGCTCCCGTAGTCATGGTGCGCGTCCAAGGACACCCGTGGGCACGTGCCGCACAGTCTGTGATGATGAGTACCGCTACGATCGCTCGTCAAGCTTGCCAGTGCGTTACCATAGTGGCACATGTGCAGAGAACGCCAGAAGCAGTATTTGCATCAGTGCCGTCAACCATGGTGCAGTGGCCGAACATTTACGTACAGCTGTAATCATTTACATATAGCCATATTTTCTCACCTATGAGCACACACCATCGATATATATGCCATACATCATCGGTACATACATACATACATGACGCTAACATATGACCATATTCATGCATAATTAGTGTTAGTGGCGTCAGGTATTGAATCGAAAGCATTTGTCCATTGGTGCACGATTGTGGTGGTGATTTGGGTTTTAAGGGCGCGTCGGCATCGGGGCCATTTTGCGCCACATTGGTGCACGATTAAAGGGAACGTTTCGTCTTTGATGTTATCAGTAAAAGACAAATAATATTTTTGAAAGTGCGCGGCATATGGTCGTGCTATTCCTTTGGCGGCTAAGAAGTGCTGTAAATATCAAAATAACAAAATACAGAGGATTCAGTCTCATTGGGCGATACCGCATAAGTCGTCACACTATGACGAATCAAGTTCGTTTCTAGTTCGCCGTATTCTTCCAGACCAATCAGCGGTGTACGGAGTTCTCCGGTCAGTGGTGGTAAAGGGCTGCAAGCGCCACGTGCTGTGAATACTGGTGTAGCCTAAATGACGTAACCGTCGCTTTCTGCGACCCTGAAAACTGGAGAATAACAGCGATATATTTATTTTGCTCATTTCTAGTGTTGGACATTAACTCTGGAATCATCTCTCCTTCCTGACTGGCATTATCTCATGTGAACATGCGTTTGGATTCATAATTCCGCCTGGCTGTAACGAAATTGTCCCCAGCGTGACAAAAGTCTCTCGGAATTGCTCACGACCCACTATTTTGTGCAGCCATATGTGCGAGTCGCTCAAGTGCTCGTGTGAAATACGAGGTATCGGTTGTGAAAAGCTTCAATTTAAGATGAAATGTTCATAATTGGGTCACGAACGACGACGGCACGGGTAGTCTGTAAGCAATGCGATATAACGCATTTAACAACTGTGCAACGGTAACATATGAGACAAAACTGCATCGAGCATTTTGTATTGAAAATAGCAATAAGCAAATAACATGCACATCACGTTTTCTGATGAGGAAATGCTTCAGTACTTGTTACCAACGCTCACACTTAACCATGTGAGGCCGTGGAGAGTGGGAAGGAAACCAGGAAGGAAAAGTGCGTTGAAATTACCGGAAGGGAAGCTGTGAGTCAAAATCAAGCGTTAGGCGTAAAGTGGTCATACGGTTGTCTTCATTCGACTTCAGGCAGGAAACACTTCAATCCTTCTGAAGAAAAGAGCAAGTTGCTTATGCTGCTACGGGTTCAGCGTAGTTATTGCAATGCCTGGATCCCTATAAATTTCCGAAAATCGTTAGGGCATTTTTTTGTTATTCGTGTTGAATGGTCACTTAAGTTCCCTCCTGATCGTCCTCACATTACTTGGGTTCTCTTAAGCGATTACCATAGAACTTATTTCCTATACCCTCTCTTTCATCTTCTTCGTCTTTTTCACCTCAACGTGGCTTTGCGTGAATATGAAGATGGCCTGTTGGATCAAATGGATTGGCAAGACATGTGAAAAAATCAGCACAATGCTGCAACTATAATTACCACCGAAAATATTTTAATGATAATATTTTACAGTACGTTTAACTTCTCATATTAATCTTAGCGGTGTAAGTTAGGATAAAAACCCAAACACGAGGTATTCGGCAAGTATTATCGAAAATTATCAGACATTTAGATTGATGTTTTGCACACAGTCACTGTGGTCTGGGGGCTAAAGTTTCAAACCTGCCTTCCAGCGCTCGCACCTGAACTCGCCATTAGCAAGTATCAGTTGGTGGGGGTAATTCTGAAGCGTGCAAAAGTGCGCACATGGTCCAGGGCCGTCCTAGAGGCTCTTTACTAGGCAGATGCACGCTGGTGGTTACAGCAAAAAAGTCAATATGTTCAGTTGTCTGTAATATAAATAAACTCATTAAGATGTGTCGATTCATGTCACAACCCTTTTCAAACTCACATTTCAAATGAAACATCTGATATGAGCATGTACAAAGCATAACCATGCCGAGCCGTATCCATATTTGGCGAAATTTCACCTGACCCGTATGCCGTTAGGTCGTGGAAAGAAATGATGCACGAAATGCGCTTTCCTCGCCACAGAGAGGCTGCAGTCACCTGTCCGGTTCAATGAAGCGACGACGGCGTGGAAATGAGATGCTCAACTAGGCACATCCCGATCTTCTCTAAAATGCAGTTGTGACCCGATAGTCGTATGGTGGCCACTGTGCTGCCTCTGGGGTAGTGGAAACAATTGCCCACTGATTGAGCATTGTGTATCGGTAAACCTTGGTCTAATGTGACTGCAAAAGTGGCTATACCGGCCGCATCCGACGGGAACAGTACAAAGCACAATATGCAGCGGTTAGTGACAAGCTTCTTTCGTCTTTGTGCCCTTATTGCTCATTAAAATGTGTCCATTATCAAAATTTTTCCATATGTACCAATTTCTTTCAAAGTAAATAACAACCGAACTTTAAGTCTTGATAAGGAACTGGTTTGAACAGCACTCTGTGAATTACCACCTGGTCGTACCCGTCCGAACACCATTAAAGAATACTGCCAGGTGCCGCGAACGTATTGTGAGAACCGATATTCAGAGGCAAAAAAACAAACAAACAAACAAAAACTCATGCCTGCCTCGCACAAAGCACAAGTGGTCTGATCTGTCTTTTTAACTGTTGGATCGATTCGCCATTTTTCACAACGTTGTGGGGTCGGTCCACGTTCGCGAATAGTGACTTCATCATGGCAGTCAAATGTCGATTATTTTGGTTAGAAAATCGCACTTTTTCAGCTTTACATCATCCCTACAAGACGATGCCCTGCGGGGACACGAATTTTGAACAGGCGTGTTCCATGTTTAGTTCTGAGCACAACGGGGTATTTTGTATGTGCTTGAGTATATATACATAATATATGGCCCAGTGACAGCCCGCCACGCGTTCCGCGGCTTCGTCGGTTGGCACCAGCCTCTGGCGCTGGTCATGGATCGGTGTTCATTGTTTCTCAAAGCCGCCACTGCTCTGAAAACGGGAAAGCTAGAAACACATGTTTGGCGTAAAAACACGCGCCATGGATGCTCCATAGACTATTGACAACTTTGGCACGACGATTTATAGCCGGAAAAAAGAGGCTAGAATGTGCAGCTCAATGTTAGTCTCAACTGTGCAGCTCGTTGACTTTTATTTTTGAGTACATCGTACCTACCATAACGTTTTTTGACGAATTTAATTGTATTTCCTCGCTGTCATCCAATAAGCCTATGATAATACCAAAAGTGGGAATGGTTTTAAGGATTTCCTTTTATTTTGGACCACTGAAAAAGTGAGCGTGACCGACCACCTTTTGCTCAAATGCACAAAACCCCCATGACATATTGGTATTCTATGTTCTTGTGATCCACATTGCTAAAAAATTGTTACCAATGAATGTATTACTTGCAGGAATCAAGGCACCATGTAACTATTCGTGATATGGGTTGCTTTTTCATGGGAGACCAAGTGTATGTACCTAGTGGAAGTTGCTTTCAAGCAATTCACTACAGCCCACAAAACATGGTAAAGATGTCAACAAGATTTTAAGCCAGAAGACATCCTGAATCTTGCACCACATGTGGCAGGTCGTACCTCCGATTTACAATTCGGAATTAGGAACGGATTAAGAAACGTAAAAGTTTGGAAGCAATGAAAAAAATAGGTAGAGTAGAATCATACTTTCAACAGCAGTTCCACTACGACTATTTTACGAGGTGTATTTTGTGTCCGGTAACCACCACCTATCTTTCCATTTATAGTAAAGTGGTGATCAACGTGACCTTTGTGATCCCACAACAGCGTGGATGCCATTAACGCGGGCACAAAACCGTTACTTAGACGTTGTCGTGGCTGAAAAATTTGTCGCGAGAAGTTGTCTACTCAGCTGCCTGAGTGCAACAACCCTTTTAACGATGCGATTATGCAATCTGTACCGATGGTTTCGATTGTCTTGTATTACAGAACATCGCATTTCAAAAGTATGTTGTAATGTTCTCATACAGTGACTTTTCACAGGCGTCGGCGCGGGATGGCGACGGACTGAGACAACAACCAGCAACTGCGCATGAGGTGAGTGACCTTTGATCGGCGCCCTCCACACAGCGCACTCTGGGGTTGCGGCAGCCCCTCCCCCTGTGTTGACAAAGCTGAGGCCACGGCCAGGTGCCGTATTGAGCGAAAGGCTCCAGGACCTCACTGCGCCGTGTCAAACCGTGCAAAGGGCCTGTATGAACATCGTTTGATGCTGTGAAGGGCCGGACCACGCCGTGGTAGGAGGTGACTAACATTAACGACGACCTTCTGACTGAACCAACGGACTGGGGGCCGGTGAAAGTGCAAGCCACCGAGTAGTGCTCGTACTGTGCCCATTAGCATATGACGGTACCTGCATGGATATGTTACTTTGCATGAAAATGATAATGAAGTTCGCCGCAGTGTTTGAATGGTCCAGTATTGCGGTAATTTATGATATAATCTTATTGTAGGTTTATGGTATAAATCTTAGCACTGACAACTGTCCTGATCCCTAGCCATTGACTGCATTTTCCACTGCCCGTCAAAGACAAGCGTTCTCTCCAACTTATTATTTATGGGTCACAGCTGGGGATAAACCTTATTTCATTTAGGTCTCGAGCCGGGCTCGGCTTACAGCAACAACGGCCGCTTGTGGACCTGGCCGTGACAGCTTCAGGCCGGATTCTTGGCAGCACTGAGGCGGAGTTTCATGGCGGGCATAGTTAGGGGAACTTGACAAGACTATACATCACCCCCTGGTCGTGGAGTATCTAAATATTGTTTCGACGAAAAGTAGAATTATGCAGCATTGTATTTGTCAAATTTGCATAAACCCGTGTGATTAGCTGCAAAAACTTATAAGATACACGTGGTCTAATCTAACTTCTTGGCCCTCGTCCTGATTCGCCGTTTTTCATAGCACAGACTGCAAAAGGGGAGAGGGGGGGGGGGGTGGATGCGAACCCTGACGTTTCCAAAATAATGAGAATAGAGCTTAGCAAAAAACACCCGTGGATTGGTTTCAACGCTATCTCATGACTGGCACTAGCTGTTATGCTGTTAGTTCAGTCATTGACCTACAGGCGTGTACCTCATGTAATTCTGTGTGCGATTGTGTATATTTTATCGCGAACGACTAACTTACGAAATATTGCTGCTAAAGGGAGTAATCTACATTGACATGGGGTTTTGAACTGCAATAGCCATCTCAAAGACCTTTCGGTGCAGTTCATAATCCTGCCATTCAAAAAGTCAGGCGGCGATGAACGCCAAAAACAGCATTGTTTAGGCGTTCATATCGAGCGTTCGTGAGCGCGATTTCCAGGTGTAATGGCTGTTAAGTGACTTTTGATCAATGCTGTGAAAGATACGATCACGTAATCAAACCATGATTCACTGGGGAGCTTATGTACCAAACAGAGAATTGTGCTGTCCAGAACAGCCTTTTCCACTTTAAAGGTATACCAATAGTTATAAGTGAGCATGTGTCATCAGATCTGATGCTTGATTCAGTATCTTCAAATGTGAAACATTCCCTTTAATGTAGCAACGCCGGTCGGCCGGGCGCGTCCCGCGGCATCGCCGATCGCCGCCTGCCTCCCGGGCCGGGCGGAGATCACCGTTCATTGATCCACAAAAACCGCCACTGGTCTGAAGGCAGAAAAGCTAGAAACACATTCCTGATGTCAAAACACGCGCAATGGATGCCGCATAGGCCACCGAAAATTTGGGCACGATTGCAAAACATGCCACAGAGGCATCGTCAAGGCTCACCCACTCGACTCCACGATGTAGTCACTAATGGTGCATACTTTCTTCACGTTGCTTTCGATGCATTCTTGGTCCATCAGATGAACCCTAATCGTCGTGTGAGTCGCCCCTGATTTGATGATCGCTTCTATTGCTTGACCACCGACTTGGCGCTGGCTCCTAAAGATTGATGCTGGAGAAGTACACGCAGCGGCAACTTTTTCCGTCAGTGATAACTCTTTCTTGATCTCAGAAGCTTCTGACTCGACGCACGATGTGTTTCGGTGTTATCAGGACTGAGGTCGGTCACCACATGCTGCTCCGTGACGGCTGTGGGACCTCCTAGTTTCCCAAGAGCGGAGATCCTATGCAGACGGCTGATGGTCGCCGTCGTGAGCTTGAAGGACCTAAGCGGCCTTCCTGCCATTGCTGGTACTTGTCAGGAGGCTGCCGACGCTGCAGCCGGTGACGTTGAAACGGCTGCTGGTGATGGACACGAAGTCCAGAGAGCCACTACAGGCTGGCTTCGAGCTCGCCACTTAAGAATTGAAAACTTTTCTGGGATGCTCGATGTGGCAAGCTATCACGACGTTGCCGCTGCCGATGTTGATAACGTGGACGGTACTCAGGAGATACTGCGGAGTGACAGGATCTCGTGTCCCCGGCGAGCCACTAGAAGTGTAGTGGTACGTACCTTCTTCCGCCACTCCGACGTTCAACTCCACTCAAACTCTTGGCCGTTGTATAAAAACCGCCTCACCGTTGGCTAGCGTCCCCCGGCGCACGCTGCTCGACACCAGCTCTGCGGTCACCCGACACTCGCTGTCTCTGTCCGGCGCGCCTCGCCGTCCGTGACTGCTCGACGCCAGCTCTGCGGTCACCCGACACTCGCTGTCTCTGTCCGGCGCGCCTCGCCGTCCGTGACTGCTCGACACCAGCTCTGCGGTCACCCGACACTCGCCGTCTCTGTCCGGCGCTTCGCCGTCCGTGACTGCTCGACACCAGCTCTGCGGTCACCCGACACTCGCTGTCTCTGTCCGGCGCGCCTCGCCGTCCGTGACTGCTCGACACCAGCTCTGCGGTCACCCCACACTCGCTGTCTCTGTCCGGCGCGCCTCGCCGTCCGTGACATTGACCGAGGCTCGTGAGGGGCAAGGGCGCATCCAGCGCCCGGCGCGGCGGAGTGGCCAAATCTACCAAAGCAGTCTTCACATGAAGATGATAATGTGAAATCAAACACTCGTAAATCTCCACCCGTTTGCATTGAGGCGGGACAATGTTTCCAGTGGCACATGGTGAGGAAGAAGGTAACAATTCTCGCGCCCGAATGAAAAACACCAACCTAAAATTAGCATGAAGCCGACCATTTAAAGAATCTGACACCACCTGATGAGACTCCATTTAAGTCGAGTGCTAGTGTTCCAAACCAGCCCGGCGATCTGGATTGTAAACACAATATGGTAATAAGATGGATGCTCTACTATCTACTCTGTTATATCTTAGTAGTGTCCATGATTATAATCATTTCAGGTACAGCACGCGCAGACTTTGGGAGTGATAATTTTAGGTCAGCAATTGCTGCTTTGTATTTGATTCACTGGTGTTCACACTTGAATGGATTTCCAACTCTCCTGCTATCGCCCCCGCCGAAATAAGGGATCTCATTTCCTCTTCTTTTTTTACGCCGTTACTCAAGAACAGGTAACCAGGAGTGCCCTTCCCTCAATCCCAGCGACGCAGTAAACCGTACGTTAACACCAGAAAACATAAAATCAAGTCGCGGCACTCCCAGCTAGGAAGATGAAACAAACTTACAAAAAACAGGCGAGGAGGTGGAGCAGACCCGAGGGAATTGTGTTATGTGAGAGGTAGGGAAAAATCATAGATGAAAAGGCTTAAAGTAGTCATTAGCCAAAATCAGCTAATGACAGCCCGCTACAACCGCCCAATAATCTACAACCACTCAATTCCCGGTGTTAGTAAGGGTCATACAGTCACAAGTTCGGAGGGGGCAATTACCTGGTCATTTTTGTGCTGGGTTTTGGGCTGGATTTCCAGGGAGTCCACCCAGCTAAGCAGAGCTTGTTGCTGGGAGAACTCCCGGAGCCAGCGCCATGAATTTGGGTATATGTGCATGACTTTACATCAGAAATTGATTATGAAACATGAAGGAGGTCAAATATGAAGTGCGTTGGATATGTACAGCACAAGGATGGCAATGTCTTCAAATGTGTCTGTTACGTTAATATGTGTCCACGAAATGCTTGCGGATGATGTTCTTAACGATGGTTTTCGATACAGGGATGTCAGCTATTATTGGAAAATATGGAATCCATAATGTCGTTCCACAGCTTAGGGCCAAGGCAGGATGCTGTTAATAGTCTGTAATTACTATAAGAGAAAGGTTGTTCTAAATGTTTTGCTCGCCTCATATCCATGTCATTGGATTCGTAGAGATTGTAAATTAAATCGAATGATGCAGGGAGCTGTGAAGTTAAAAATTTGTGCATCACAATTAACATTTGAGATTTAGCAACATCCGATGGTTTCAAAATTTTGCTATCGTTTTAAGATTGGCTCTGAGCTTTGCGGAGGATACACATTTTGTATAAGACGCACAGCCTCTTTTTTGCAAAATTACCAATCGATCTAGTTGAGAAGCATAATTTATGCCCCAAACCAAGCAGCAGTAATTTAGGTAAGGAAGAACCAAAGTGTTATAGAGTAGATGTGACGTTGTTTTATCGATAAAGTACCTAACCCTACTTATTATTCCAATATTTCTACTTACTATGCTTGCAACAAAATTGGTGTGGCTTGTAATCTTAAGAGATTTGTCAATGATTACACCAAGGTGTTTAATTTCTTTTTTCTCTTCAATAGGCGAATTATTTATTTGCACATTTAGTCGGAAATGCGAAGAAAGGGTTGTGTAATGCTGTGTGAATGTTTTTGATACGTTCAGGGACAGAAAATTAGCAGCAAACCAAGAAGTCATTAGAAGCAAAAGCGTACTGACATTGTTTTGAAGTTCGACAATACTTTTATTTTTGAAAACAAACGCAGTATCATCAGCATAAGCCAGACAAATCATGTTACTGCTTAATTTAGGTAGGTCATTTATGTACATGAAAAAGAGGATTGGGCCGAGAATGGATCCTTGGGGTACCCCCATTGTCACGTTTTTGATTGTTGATAGATCATTCCTGATTTTTACACACTGAGTTCTGCCAGACAAATATGAAGAAATGATTTCATGAGATTTTCGTCGAATACCATATTTAGTAAGTTTACGTAGAAGAAGG